GGAGCACAAATAAAAACTGTTCAAGATTTATTAAAGTACTCACAGTTGCCTGTGATCCATTAATTTCAGCAGTTTTAATATCTTTAGTTTCTTGAAATGACAAATGCTGACAATATATTGGTTTACTTTATTGACCTAAACTGTCAGATTAGCAGTGTCATTCAAACGTGTCTTTTGTATTTATTTTCTTGACAGCCTGCACCAGCTTTGAAGAGCAATTAGGGATTATTTTGTGCTTTTCTCTCATGTTACACTTGTCTGACTGCAGTATTTATCTTCCTCTGGAAAGTGAGACTTTATCAAAAAAAAGAGCATTTTCCTAGGAAACAATTRTTTCCCTTTATTACTGAGGAAACTATCTGAATAATGTGAAAAAATTTAGCAAGTAGGGTAGGCATTTTTGAAGTGTAAAAAGTGGACATTCACTTTTTGATCCAATTTGGTAGGACTGCACTTTTCACATGTTCTTTCTATTGCCCTTCTTAAATGTGAGAAGAGAGGATATATCCCATGTAGGAATGTGTGGTTTCATCTGGACAGTTCTAGGTTATCACTGTTGCCCTAATCCAGTTCAGATGGCCAGGGTCTCACGTGATACCCCTGCTGGAACCTGACCTCAGATTACTTGTTGAAGCTCCACAGAGATGCAGAACCAGGGATGTTCTACTTGCTTTCAGGTTTCAGTCTTGCAGGCTTCAAAAGACAGAGAAGACTCTCCTTACTGTTACGTTTTGTTTTTTTTTTTTTTTTTTTTTCTTACAGTTAACCAGTTTCTGTTTAAAAAAAATAAATGTAACCATTTATTTTCTTGATTTGGTACCTCTCATAGCTGTTCTAGGGCTGCATAATCTTCTATATACCTTCTGCTGTGATGCATCTCTGGCATTGCARTCAAGTAATTTCTCAATCTTTTGTCAAACAAGATTGGACTATTGGAGTAATTAATGGATGGTTTCTTGAATCCCTAAATAATGGTTTAATTCTTCTCAGTGGCATTGCATTGGTTTGGTTTGTTTGTTTCTTTGTTTTTTAATTAATCTGTCCCACTTCACCACCATGATCACAAGAGTTCTGGATGTGCTCTGATGCTGGATACATCATCTGTTAATAACGACCTGCAGGGCTGAAAGTTTAGTCATGAGTTTTCTTTGAATTTGAACATRGACCTGTCTGTGAATGGGCATAATGCCTGATACTTGTCTGAAGGAAAAATAGCAATGCTGGTGGTGGCCAGGTGGGCTGGCTTGGGAATGGGGCTGAATACACTTTAGGAATTCGGAGGAGAAATGTGTGTGACCTTGATGCACATCACTGCTTGGATTTCAGGCAGCCCAGGGAGCTGCAGTGCTGTTAGGGGCATGAAGGGGTGGCAGCTGGCTAAGAGCAGGGTTTGGACAAGTGCAGCTTGGGGTGAGCCATSAATTCCCTAAAGCCTCTGGCTTTAGGGAAATCCCTTCTGAGGGCGCTGAGCCTCYTTGAATGAGAGAGTGCTCGTTGGCCTTGGTAGTAGTTTATTGATTGCTGCTTTTCTATTCCAACCTTGTTGCTTTTCCAGCTTCAGACTGCATTAATGCCAGTGTTTTTGAAATCAATGATACAGATCAGCTTGCAGCTTTGAGTAGGAAAGGATGTAGCTGTTTGCTCCTAACCCAAKMTGCAGGCAGGAGACTTGTTACACCYCTCTCYTTCTCAGTGACATCAGTTCTTTGAATTCATGGTCTTGGTTTTGATCTATCATCTGCACTGTCTCTCCAGTGCCTTCCAAAGCAGCAGAATATTGTGGAAGGCTGAGAGTACAGATGAGGTGGGATTCAGTTRTCTGAAATCCATATTGTTCTCTAAGTTATCTGTGTGACCTTTCCTGGATATAACTCTTGGTGTAACAGCTACTAGTTAGTTGATTTTAGTATTTAAATAAAATAGATGATAAAAACCTGTTGCTCCTCATTTGAGACTTGAATAAATTAATGCATATAAAAACTTTTAGAGCAGTTGAAAAGAAATTTAAACCAGATCAGCTTGCTGTTCTAGTTGTTTTTCAAATACCAGCTTAATAGAAACATTAGAAATTATGATGGCATTACATTTTTTATAAATCTTCTGATTTATTGTTTTTTAACTGTATTTAAGAACTTTAAAGGGTGATAATATTTTGTGTTTAAATGTTGACATTGCATAATTTGGAAATAGTGTAATAAAACTGCATATAGAAAAGAATAATTTTTGCTTGAGGCTGAAGGTATTTAGGAGACATACTTAAAAAATGGCCTCAATTTCTGAGATTTGAGAATGGTTTTGTTTCTAAAAAGAAAATATTTTAATTACCCGTTTAAATCTTCATTTTCTTSAAATGTTAGAGGAATAGTGGCAGTTACTCCCTGATAGAGTTTTAACTCTTGAACTTTTGCGGGGGAGATGCTCAGTCATAATGTTGTTACTCAGATGCCTTCGAGTTATTTTTATATTGCTGCTTAACTGTTTTCCATCAAGTTAGGCTGGTTATGCATTTTGGTCAAGGAATTTCTCTGGTTATACATATTTAGTACAGCAGTGTTAAAGTTTTGATTACATGTATAGTTTTCAAATAAATCTCTGTTTAATAATAGCACAATAAACTGGTATTAAGCCTCCATTCAGTGTTAGACAAGGATCAGCACTTGCAGGTGCAGAACTATTACTAGAGTATGAAGGAGGTTGAATTAAACTCACCTCACCAGAAGATTACCATACCAGTTCAACAACTTGTTGATATCTGGGTTATAGTGGTACTGAGCTCAATGGGGAAAATCTTTTAGCTTACAAGAAGCAGGATTAGGAAGAAAATCTGTTGTTCAAAAAGCATTGTTAACTTGTATGCGGGCAAAARAATTGTAAGTGCTTCTAGAATAGTTTGTAATTCTTTATTCTGTATTAAGCCTGGTTTGTTGATAAGCTGTTGAATGTCTGAAATGTTCTCAGTTTTTCTGTATTTTTTCCGCTGAGTACAGATTGAACCAAGTACACATTTAGATTTGGGTACATTCACAGCAGGCTGTTTTTTGGGCCACTCTGACAGATACTAGACTTTGRTGGGAGCAGTTCAGCTGTACTGAGAATCAGTCTCAAGGGTGCAGGGCTAAAGAGCATTTTGAAAATGCAGACCATGAAGAATTTAATTCTGTAATAGTAATATCAACTTTCTGTATAATTGCTGTAGTTAGAGATAAAAWATGTTTTTGGGATTCTTGGCAGACTTTCTGTTAAGGGGAGCAACAGAATTACTTTCAGCAGTGTGCTAGTGGCAAGTCAGTCTGAAAAGTGTTTGAAGGGAAAAATATGCAAATAGGACATTCCACTGAAAACATGCAGGAATGCTGAAAAATTCTGAAGAAAACACGTATATGGCACAAGCTGATTAGAAGGAAAGGGAATAAATTATTCTTTTCTCTCAACAATTTGTATTAAAGTTTAAGTAATGTTATGTCTGAATATATWTCTCATTTGTATCCTGTGTTGCTATCTCACCTCACTCTATATCTGTGCTTTGCATTTTAAAAGTGTTTAGTGTCTGTTTGTGCAACAAGAGCACTGCCAACACAATGATTGTGACAGAGGCTTTCAGCAGGAATGGCAACACCAATGATTTGAGCAGTGCAAGCTAAACCAGTGGAACATCACCTACGTACAGGATTTCAACCTCGCAGAGCTTAGCAGCAAGGGCCATAATAGTTGTATCTTTGATGGCTTTTCTAAACATTTAAGTAGCATCTTACCACTTTGTGGTGTRGACCTGCCAAGTGTTGCTTGGATGCTTTTTGCCTACTTATTTCATTTTTACCTTCAAAATGTGTAATGTTTGTTTGGCATTTTTGTGACTCTCCTTGCCAATTTGGTAACAGACCACAGAGCCGAAGTACCCCAGTGGCAAAAAGATTGAAGTGACAGCTTTAATCACAGTTGGAAATATACAAGTCTCTTTTATTAATGTTATAATGTAAACAATTTTTAATAGTAGAATAAGAAAACATTTTAATAAAATCCTGTTTGATCTTGTTATTAAAAAAGAATCCCCAAAAAACTGTATTCTTAAAATAGTTTTTTCAGGAGGCGTGTTTAATTTATTCATCTTCAGAAGATATTTAAGTTACAGAAAGTCTTAGCAATTTGATTTTTTGGAAAGTGTTGAAGGCAAAATATTRATGAGGCACAACCATTCTATTGCACTTTAGTGAAGCAACCAAAAGATCAGCCTTCATGTAAAACTGCATCCATTCATCAACTTCAGCTTATTTCATTTGTAGATCTTCAGATATGGGTATAACATGTGAAACTCGTTCTGACTGCCGCTCCTTTTTTCTCCCCAACCCTCCTACTTCCCCCAATCCTGGACCCGTTTAGTTGAGGACGTTCCTGGGGTTGCACTGCTTTTGCCTTTTCTTTTGTTTGGTGGAGGTTTTTTTTTTCTTTTGTGTGGGTTTTTTTTTT